ACACACACACACACACACACACAATGACTGATGTTTGGTGCAAGTGTACGGATTATCGGCATTCGTCACGCTCCGTGATCCAATCTACAGAATAAAACTATAGCTTGGGACCGATAACTCACTTTGCGTTTTGTTTTAATTCAATAGCGAACGAATATAGGGTGATGTAGTCAAGACATCGCTTGCACGCGCGAGCGCGCACGCACGCGCGCGTGCAATTCAAACGAACAAAGCAAGCACAGTAATTGTACGCACCGGATCCGTATCGAAAATGATTTGCTGTCATTAACCACTGCCTCGATTTCTCATCACTCCATCCGATCTTTGTGTTCGTTCAGTGTGTCTGACCCAAAGGTGTTCGCTCAGCGTGTGAGTGTGTGCGTGCGTGCGTGCGTGCGTGGGGGGGGAGGGGGGAATAGCAGGTCAGAGGTTCCAAAACGGGGTCTCGAAGACATTAAAAAAGCCTCTTGATTAATTTTACAAAAGACAATGACCAACTGTTAATTGGGAATTAGTTATTGCCACGATTGATCTATGCTGATTTCTCAGGATGTGAAATGTGACTGGATAATTTTTTACATGATGTACATAGAACGTTGGGTGGTGGTATGACCAGACCGGAGTGTTGCCAAGGCTATACAGTACTGGTGTTATTTTGCGTTCCGAACCGTTATATGCGGTATATTGCAAATGATGATTGAACATTTTTAAGCAAGTTCGTAAAAGTCACCTTTATCATAGAACGCGTGACTGTTTTAGTTCTGTCTTATTTGGTCTTAGCAGCGCACCTCTTTGAAAATGTGGTTTCAATATTCATGAACGTTCCTCCTCGACACAAAACCGTGACGGTCATTTATGACTTTGTTTTACAGCATGACTACCTTTCAGTGCTCTCTTCTCACGTGCCAGGCAAGGCTGGAAGAAGCCTTGCGGTAGCTTCGGCTTTGCCTTCCATTGATGCAACCTGCCTTCCAGGTTGGGGCCCTAGGGATGAGGAGATGCTGAGAGATATGGCCCAGGATAGAAGCCAGTTGTGAGAATGCTGTACGGTCTGTCTGTTGAAGTCCCGTGCCCCATAAAATAACAATAAATTGACAAAAAAATGTCTAAAGGTGTACGGTGAAATACACAAATATTGTTATCCCAGTCATCTACAATGTTCCGTTTTAACAGTTTCACCTGTACTGTGTCCCAATCCATCCATGCCCCGTTATTGTTATGATCGTTGTGGCGTTAGTACCACGATTGTCCGCAAGCCGATGTAATATATATATATAAACAGCATGATTACCAATTTCTAAACAGTTACTGATTCTAAAACCTCGTGTTCTATTTTACACTGAGAATGTTTGTTTATACTTCTTTGGATAAAAATGCAAACGAACTGGTGGAGTCGTCATGGATAGTTTCATCGAACGTAGCGTGGTTGACAGCTCTATAGGTATGATTGACGCCAATCCGGATTATCGGAATCCGAGAATTTCATTGTATACCACAGATACCTCGATGATATATATGCACCAATTTGTGTATTGACAGAATACTGCTGAACAAGTA